CGACCACTGCCTTTCAGTCCACACCTCGTTATACAAGGGTTAGAGATGCAGTTCCAACGAATAGCCTGTTGACGCTGGAGATGTTCGTCGTAACGCTCTTGTGAAACTGTCTTATCCTCTTCAAAGCACCTACCAGAGGGAACAATGGATTCACTCGGTTCGCCCAACTTTTCCCAGTACTGCCCTTGGTACTTTTACAATGTACTAGGTGTAGTTTAGCACATAGATTGACTCAAGGTGGTTTGTAAGAGAAAACTCTGGTTCATTCAGCTATTGATCGCAGTTCAAAGAATGCTGGCTTTCAATCCATCAATGTAAGATCCAATAATTTTCGCAAAAGCTCAGTTGCTTCAGTGAGTTGAGAGCTGCTCCTAACTCTCAAATGATATTGCCATATTTTANACTCTCTGAACACGGTTCGATCTGCCCTACGATTCGCTGATTGCCCGTTTTACTTTAGTCAGTAAACGCTCCTTCGCAGCGTAGATGATAATCCTAAAGTTTACCGAACACCACTAATTTATAACTTCCTCATTACATAAGCGCCAACTCACCAGCTTCAACGTTTCGCTTTTGATGCTTGTATACATTTTTTCTGCGTCAGACGCACTTCTGTTCGCTTATCTCAGGAGATTCTTTTTCAAACATGACTTAACCAGGAATTATGAACTAAACTCAGTCCTCATCATTCTGAAAGTGACTATTTTGACATTTTCAGTTATTTTTCCGTGATGGCACTACCAGAAACTGCTGCAAATCATAAAGAAAGTCTTATGCAAGAAATAAATCTGTTGTTTGCTCCACCAACAACCGACGCCAAAAAAGGATTGTCTGGGGTGGCAAGTTGTTCTTAAAATTAAACTGGATTATCCTTTTAGCCCTCATCTAGACGTTCCCGGAAAGGCACGGAAGCTGTTGAACAATACATCGATCCAACAACAACAATATCAGGTAATATCTGATACGTATTATTATTATTATCGAAAAGACAATGGAAAAGAAGCATTTGTTTCGGTCATGCATTATCAATCTTCTACATCAATATAACAGCATAGGATGGCAACGAAAGTTGGGGTGCACAAAATGGACTGGTATGGGCGATTTGAGCTGCAGAGTTGTATTTGGTCGATTAAACTGATTACGTCACATCGTCTGGTCATATATTCAATTCAGGGTGTGAATAATCCGCTTTTATTGGTACAGTTCGGGGTGGTGGACCCGAATGGTTACCGCTCCGGATCTGCATAGCATAATTTGTTAGGTAGATTCATCGGAGTTCTTTAGATGACTTGAAATGATCTTTCGACATCGGCTAAATATCCCTTGTTAATCAGATACTCGACACCTGAGCTACAATTGACTTTTGTGAATCCTTTTCTCAATCAGGCCGGATGGTACTTTTGAATCCTCTTTTAATGAACTGTCGACTGGTACGACCAATGTAACCGGCTCCACAGGAGTAGTGGTATTGATCTATTGATCCATTGATCTATACATGGAAATGGTTAATAGTGGCATCCGATTTTTAAGTCTCTGAGGAATAACCGGGTGGGTTGAGTAGAATATGTTAAATTTGGTAGTTCTGTAAAACGTGGATTTTATTGCGTTCTAGGGTCTTCTTTCGAAGTGTTCACTGATACCGAGAATGACAACAGGTAGATTGATGAATAAGCCTTTTTTCGGGNGGGGGGGGGGGGGGGGCGGGGGGAGGAGGGCCAGTGTAGATCTTGTTCTTTTTTTCGTTTCACATACTCTTCGACGAACTTGTCTGGGTATCCATTCTGTCGGTAAATGCTGTGTACTTGATTCAATTTATCTGTCATTTTTCATTGGAATAAATCATTCTTGCTCAGTGTGCAAGACAACGCTCTAGGTTTCGTTCTTGACTTATTCGTACTGCATTGTAGAGGTTTATACATTGCCCACGTTAATTATGTTTCAGGACGGGATGATCCATTTTGGAGAAAACCCCGTGCTAATTGTCATGAATTTTGTGACAGTTGTGGTTGTATTGGAGGTGAAAGACTAGTCTGCGATCGCTGTCCAGCAAGTTTTCACCTAGAATGTCTAGACCCACCTCTGGATTCTGATGAAGCCCCTGTTGGTGTATGGTATTGTCATCGATGTTCGATGATAATTCGAGTAAGTTTCATGCAGTTTTGACGCTGTTTATCGATTTCTTTATGATGCACTTTAAGCAGTGTTCGATTTGCATAGCTTGTCGGCATCACCATCCTATAGCGTTTTTTCCATTCAATGCTAAAGATTGTGTCAGCTCATTTCTTATAATCGATGAACCGTCCTAGGTCAGAATAGGAATGTAAACAACATGATTATGATGAGTTTGCTTTCGAAGTTCGATCACTGTTCACGAATGGTCAAAGCCGCTGAATTCATCCACAGAATTGTCAATATAAAACTTGTCATGGGAACCGCTTGATATGAGAAAGCGATTCAAGTTTAAAGATATTGTTTTCGTAATGTATAATGGGGCAACCTCACACTGTTATTGTTTTCACTTATGGAATATCTCGCACATTTTGCATATCTCAGCAAGTGACGATACGTTTGAGTTCAAGTATAGGTAGTGTGGGCGTGGGGAACTGTTGATTTTGCAAACTTCGCTCAGTTTGTTGAGGGCTAAATTCCACTCGCACACATCTTTTTTATTCTGTCCAATAAATGATTCACCAGGATCTGTTCATTGTCTCATGTGTGATGCTGGTTTTCAGTCAACAGACGAGCGCTGAGAAGAATAGGTAGCAAACGGACCAGATTCATGTTGCAATAAATTCGTTAGTCAGCAAAGATGCTCAATTCACCACATGCAACCCAATCTCGGCGCGTTTTTTTTTATTCCGAGGCCTCATAAGCTTCTCTAAATGGGGAATTCATGGTCGACTGAACAAAGTGAAACATCTGTAATGAGCGGTGGAGGTCACTAAGTTACTGTCTCGGACGGTGTATTTTCTAATCCCATCCCTCCCCGACTTTCCCCATTATCTTTATTTGGACGTCGGCCTTTTGATTAACTGCTTCCTTCTTGCTGAAAATTGTATCATTATATATTGGCTAAGTGAATGCAAAAGAAAAAAGAAGAATCTAATCTTAATTAGTAGTTCACTAGCCAAAACGAGATAGCGTGAACCCTTTACAACAGATTGTTCCTGAGCGGCAGTTACCGTTCGAGTTCTGCGGTCTGTGAAAAAGAACCAGTTTGAGGAACCTCATCTCCACCCCTTAAGTTCCTCAATCTAATTTGGGTAGTCTGGACCGATCGATTGTGTACGGACATTAAGGTTGCTCATCCTTGGAGATTCAAAGTCACGACTTTTCAAGTCCCGTTAACTTATTCGCTCTCCGTGACCCATCAACTTGGTTTAATTGTGAAATTCGATCAATTGTCAGCTTTTGTGGATACCATCCCTAAGGCATTCGTTTTTTCAGATTCTTACTTAATTGTTTACTTTTTGTTCACCGGATCCTGTCTCAGAGAGCCTGAAATCATTTAAGGCCATGTGTGGTCTTAATCGTTAGCACTGTCTGCATTGGACCTTGAGTTCTAAGGTTCTCACTTCCTTGCGTTCAGGTCACCTAATTGCTTTGTATTTTATAGCTGTTCAGTTCAAATATCGCA